CAGACAGACAGACAGACAGACAGAGGGTGGTGAACGTCCATGAGTCAGTGAAGGACCACTGGGTGAGAGTTGATCGTCTAAGGGTGGTTGAATCTTGATGACGCCTGAACACATCAGTCAGTGTCTGTGGTTTTTAACCTGGTTTGTCACCGTAACTGATCTAATACAGACATGTTAACATTATCACTGATGACCTAACAGGAACTTTGACCCCCAGTACCACAGTTTACCCACAATGCCTTAACAACAACAACAACAAAAATAAGAACTGCTGACTTTGATTTCATTAACTTTTCAAAAATAGCACCAACTCACGACCTGAACAGACAAACCTACAACATCGAGTTTCCGTTGATTACCGGAATAATTGCTCATTAGGACGGACTGGCTCTGAGTAATTGATTATTAACTGGATTTTCTATTTAACATGGGCATTGATATAATGCAGCTCAGAGACTCCTTGTGGTTTGATTCCTGCCGCGCAGTGTCACATTGGCGATGCTGAAGGACCACTGTGTGGACACTGCCATTGATCCTGTGTGGACATCCATTGAAATTACAGCTCGTTAGCACACAGGTGAGAGCTCATTAATAGAAGATGAACGACGACAGCGGTTTGAAAGAATGCCATGTAACTACATGATTCACACGACAGCCCTCAAAGACGCAGTAACCAAACAGAAACAGGCAGTAAACAAACAGAAACAGGCAGTAAACAAACAGAAACAGGCAGTAACCAAACAGAAACAGCAGTTAGCAGTTGATCAGCACCGTGTCGGCAGGAAGTGATGAGAGTAATACTACAAACAATACTGCAGTAATAGAAATATGATTTGGACCCCAGTCTAACCCAAACAGAAACACTCATGTGAACCGCTGACAGGCTGTTTGACTGACATTATGGGATGTACGCATGCAGCATGGTGGGAGTTGAGCTGCTTCCACTGCCGGCTGCCGTTGAGCTGCGTTGGTTCTGTTGTTATTGTTCTACAGTGTAGATAAGAACAGGCGCTGGAATAAAAGCAGGATAAATCCAGAGTTGGGATTATGGCCGACTGCTGGGAGGCAAGAACACGGAAGGTCCTGGGAAGTAAACT